AGATACAGACGAGGTCATGTATAAAATTCATTTTTTCCAAAGAAAACAGCAAAAGAATCTTAGCGGAATATAGTCAAATAATTGAACAAAGTGAGAATTTGGAAAAGGAGATTGTACACATTAAAAGTGAAAAAATTTAAGTATCTTATCAAATGCATTGCACTATGATTAATGGAGCTGTTGCAAACACACTAACAAAAACTAACGCTTCCAGTAGGTGCTTTATTTGCCAAGTAAAGGCAGAGTGTCCAGATTTGGCGATTTCGCGCCAGTTTGGCGATTTTTTTTGGATACTTGCGCGTAAAAATTTAGGAAATCGCCATTGGCGATTTTTGGCTTCAAATAAATTTTTTCCAATTATAAAAATATACAAAACATAGTTTTCCAGGATAATTTTACAAAAGAGGATAATGAACTGCGTGATAAACTTGACTTAAGAAGCATATTAAAAGACTGTCAAAAATTGTTGATCACCCTAATCGAAGAAATTTTGAAACGATTACCTAGTCAATTAAATACTTTTAAAAAGCTTTGATTGTGTCACCAGAAAAGTGTGTGAATCACAAGAGGTCGAGTTTCAGGGACCTGCCAATAACTTTTTTCTGAACCATTTCATCCGACTGCACATTAGGTCAAATGATTACTTTTTCTGTGCGAAATTAATAGCAGCTAAAATATTGCATTATTTTAATGTAAAAAGATGGCAAACTTTAAAACAAGTGTAAAGGCGTAAATAAAATGTTAAACAGACTTGGCTTTCGTAAAACAGACTTTACTGCTTTTTTGAAGGTTCAAATGATGAGTATATATGTTTAGGTAGTACTCAAAAAGATTGTCCAATTAGCTTGGTTTTGACACAAGTTATTTTCAAACCATACTCAACCCCCTCCCCTTTAAAATGAGCTACATAATAAAATAAGTATGGGTCACATGTACATAAATAGTTTCTTCTAGCGATTAGTTATGGCATTATCGAAATTCCTAAATTAAAAAAAAAATATATATTTACTACATGTCTCGCAGATATGTTTTGAGGCGAGATTCCTAAAGCAGTTAGTCTTCATAACACACTTCATTTTAACTTGAGGTTTCAGTATTTCCAAGTTCTCCACCGACATTATTTATATTCAGAATACAAGTGTTGCTTTGTGACACATTTACCAAAAGACCCCGGTAAATTCTTGAAAATAATACGAATGTTAACGAAACTAATTTGTTAAGAGAATGTTCAAAGCTCTATTCAATTTGAGTAAAAAAAAATCGAAATTTCAGTCCGTAAGTTCTCTCAAGGATTTGCCTTTTTGCGAAGGCGCTAGTGTATTTGTAACATGCCTCAGCTACGCTACAGGAGATGAAATGCAATCCAAATTGAGGCTGCTATTTTTTTTTGCTATCATATACTTCCATTTTCCCTATTTATCACCATTAAAATGTATTATTTGTCACCAAAAAATTTTGGAGATATTTTTGGAGATAGCTAAAAATTGGGAAAAAGGTTGGCTATCCTATTTTAGCACTTTAGCGATAGCGAATGTTAGAATCCGGCTAATGGTCGACACAGTTGGCTTTTTGATTTCGAAAAGAACCTCATCAGCAAGAAACGCTATGTTTTCAGATCTAAATATTTAAGCATCCTTTCCAAATCGTTTCGCATAATTTTTATATTTATTTGATAAATAATTGCAAAAAATACGCGGTTTTTCTACTAAGAGTTCCATGCAACTTTCGCAAATATCAGCAGCACCAAATTTTTTTCAACATGGTTGACAACCGAAAAAGCTTTTCTTTTTTCGAATATCCAATCAGCCAAACTTCAAACAACTTGCCTTTTGAGATAGCATGATAGCCCAGAAAAAACAGTTTTTCTTGAAAACGGCTAAAAACGGCAAGTTAAGTAAAACAAATTCAACTCATTACATCTTAGTTTATCCATTTCCGATTCCATTTTGTTTGCCGAAAGTTAACAAAATTGTAAAAGCTTACATAAAATCATAAATGAAAACAAATCAGAAAATTTTTGAGGTTATGCAAATAAGTCATTTTTTTGCAAACAAATGACAAAAAGCTGCTTTTTTAAATTGGGACATTGGTTCTCACTTAGATATAGTTTTGTTTCCCATTTAAAATTTTCCTTTAGTTATTCACACTTTTCAAAAACAATGCACTTGAAATTTACAAAATAAACCGGTTGCGCAAACAACGTATCAATAACGTTTTGAAAGTGTAACTTTGGTTTATTGCTGTATACGGTGTTTTTTATTTTACAAAACCCTAGTGAAGTTTCTGTAATTTTGGAGTATTCCCTACAGAATGGCAACAAAAAATAATGTAAAACTGCCTTTACGAAATTGGACTTTCGCACAGCCAAATGTATCATTTGACCTAATGTGGACTGTGAAGAATTTTGGATAATTGCTTACGGCAGGTGCAGATCCAGCGGGGGGGTTTTGGGGGTTTAACTATGTGTCAGTCAGTGGCGGACCCACGGGGGGTGTTTTAATACATAGACGCCATATTATACATACATATGCGCCATATTAAAACACACCCCGTGCGTCCGCCACTGACTGGCACGTAGTTTAACACCCAAAACTCCCCCCGCAACAGGCAATAAAATGTTTGGAAATGAAGTAATGTAGCCTTCATATTATTATCCTTGCCGCACTCATATGCTTTTGTTGAGCCGTTTTTTCAGTAATGAATTCAACAAAAACTAAGATTCGAAATAGGATGAGGTTGGAAAGCTTTATATGAAGGCTAATAGTTTCTGCTGCAAAACGTTTCCAATATCAAACAGTATGTTATCAAGGTTGAATAGCTCAATATATGGCAACAACAGAAATGTAAATGATTCAGACACTATAGGTGATTTTGAAGACACTGTGGAAATAGCTGATCTCGCCTTATTATAGGTTTTTATTTTATTTTTAGCGCCGAGCTCTTAAAATCGGATTGTGCGATTAATCAATTAATATGAGTTATAATAAATTTAATAATTGCGCAGTCCTATTGCAAAATGTGTTGAAACAAATATTTTTAAGAAGTATGCGTATTTTTAATGAAAATTGTTTGTACATCACTATTATATAAGTAATTTGTGTTATTTATTATTACCATCGAAAGGTATTATACTCGTTTTTGGTTTCAAAAACTATATTATAACAAAATCTCATTTATTAAATAAAAGATTTGTTAAATCGATTTCATGAATTTTATTAAAAAAAAAAATTGGCGATTTTTTCCAGAAATTGCGCTTTTTTTAAACAATCTGGACACCCTGAGCAAAAGCGACTGAGATGAATACCTTAGAGTTTTCGAAAGTGCCAAACTCCGATAATTATAAATTTGGTTTGTGTTCCTTACACGCATTGAGTGTTTATTGCACATTGCTTACCGAATGCCCTTTATGAGCTGGCAAGTGCAAGCTGAAAACAAGGTTGTGTTTTTAGAAAACAAAAGAAGGATTCAAATGGAATTTAGAAATAGGCTTGGTTTGATGATAGATAAAGTTAAGACGGTGTTCGGAAAAACAAACGGCGGTATTCAAATAATGATTTACTAAATTATTTACTAGTTTCTTCAGATCCTTTAATAGTATCAAAAAGGAAGCCAGTTTTGAAGAAATACGCATCATACAATATTGATGATTTAAAAAAAACATTTTGCCTGATGGTTCGGAGAGTGAAAGTTTAACTAGCATGGAATGTAATTAATAGTTTTTAATCAAAGAACGTTTTAGTGGTTTTGAATGCGACTTTCTTTACTAAGTTTGCTTTTAATAAAAATTTCCTAAATACTACAACACAAATTTTTCCTTTCGTCTGACATCCATATTGTTATTAATATTTCCGTTACCTAATTCCATTAATTAAATTTAATTTGATTTTTCAAAGAGGTAGCAACCCTTCTTCGTGTAGTTTACAAGTAAAGCATTTTAAAAACCATTTCGATTGATATCCATATTGTAATACCTAATTTCTTTAACTTATTAAATAATTANCCCATTGATATCCATATTGTAATACCTAATTTCTTTAACTTATTAAATAATTATAATTAACTTTTTAAAAAATGGCAACCCTTTTAAAAAACAAAACTTCATTGCACATATACAGACCAATCCCTGTAATTTGACTCCTCACTTCTTAAAATAGAGCGAACTATATGTGCATACCTATGTAAATGCTACAAGAACAAATTTTCAAATTTAAACTGCTTTTACAATGGAAGTATGAAAGTTATCAAAGAACGAATTGCATTTTTGAATTCAGCGCTCTCAAGTTCACTAAGAAACAAATTCTCATTCAAATCCGTCCACAATTCTATTTTTGCCCACATTTTATATGGAAGGGCGGCACTGTGCAGCCAAACTAACAAAAGCATATATGCTGGCATGAATAACATTAGGAAGACCTAACACAATGGCCTAGTGGGCACAGCTATATGGTTGAGTATGTATTCGCTAGTTAGCAACCTTAAATTTTTACTAAGGAAAATATCCAATGATTGAAATAACATCAATAAATATATGTACTATATATGTATGTATGTGCATTAGGGTAGTCCAAAATAAGTAAAGTCGGAATTCTAATGATTTCAAAATAAAACAAGTAATTTTTAGCAAAAAAATAAACCGACTTAAAAAAAATATATATATATCTATATATTTCATGATCCAATGATCGGATCTAAACCAAATTAGTATGGGACCACCTCTGATACACCACCTTTCCGTTGCAAAAAAAAATTATTGAAATCGGTTGACGTGGTGCAAAGTTATGCGGTAACATACATAAAAAAAAAAATAAAAAATATTCCGACGAACTGATAACCTCCTCCTTTTTTGGAAGTCGGTTAAAAATAGGGGTATATTTTTTCGGTATAGAACAATCCGAGAGGTGAGGGCATACAAATTTCGACTTTACTCTTTCACATGTATTTTTGGACCAACCTAAAATGTGCATGCATGGTCGCGCTAGTAGTTATGTAGACTGTACGCATGTTTTATTAGAAAACATTTTATTATAAATATTAATGGCAATAATTACCTTGATCTTGCTCTATTCGAACGTGGCGGACACAATTATTTAGTTTAAAGCTCAAGGAGAATATATAATGATCATCAGAACTGTCTCGTACAATGAAACTTCCATCTGGTTCGGTAGAGAGGACTTTCTCCGCTGCTTCGCTTGACAAAGGACCCCAGTACCATCCGTACTTAAAAAACACATATCAGTATTGTAAAACGTAATATATTTTTTTTTGTGCTTACATCCTTCACTTTTTCGATGCTGGAAGTAAATTGTTGGGATCGGTATTCCTGTTTCTTCTTTGAATTTCCTTTGCATTGCGGATTTAACGGCTCAGCTTGTAAAAATAATGGAAGAAAGTGTATATGTATTTATTAAAATCCCAATTCATTAACGTTCTAAAAAACAAAATACACATTTTCAGTATTTCCCGCACATAAGTATCATAGGAAAATAATGTGTTCTATAAGTAAAGGTTGGACAACACAAATACTCGGAATGCTTCAAAAACTAGATAATAAATCAGAAAAAGTTAGAAGAAGATATGATTACACAGGCCAACAAAATTTTTTCCCTGAAACTAGGCTATCCTTTCTGAGGGTTTTCGATGAACTTAACCCTAATCTGGCAAAATTCGCTCACGTCAAAATTTTGAGATATCCTAACCTATGGCTATGGTTATGGTTATGTAAGGGTAGGTCTTCGGCCCATTGGCCCGCGACCAAATTATATCTATTGTGCCCCTATATCAACTTTAGTTGTTTAGTATTGAATACATAGTACATATTGAATAGTACATATCGACTGCTGAGTGGAAGATCGACCTATATCGGCAGCCAGTACCAAAACGCCCTACCTCAAAAATTTTATCAAACACTCCTTACTTCAGAATTTTATTAAAAAACACCCTATCTCAGAATTTGGTTGAAGAACGACCTATCTCAGAATTCAGTTTAAAAGCGCCCTATCTCACTTCAAAATGTATAGAAAATGAGCTGATATAGGACGTTTTTGAACATGCACCTGATATAGGGTGTTTTTGAAACGAATTCTGAACTAGGGCGTTCTTCAACCAAATTCTGGACTAGGACGTTCTTGAAAAGTTTTTATATATAGGGCGTTTTCGAACTGGCTGACGAAATAGGTCGATCTTCCACTCAGCAGTCGATATTGAATTTTAAATATATTTGTTCTGCTTTGGGTCAATATCGTTGACCGTACAGTCGTTTAAAAATGTGGCTCTGCGGTGAGCTAGTGTTGGGCAGGTGGTAATGAGGTGTTTCATTGATTCCTCTTCTTCACAACAGAAACTGCATATGTCTGTACTACAGAGGCCAAGCCTATGGATATTAGGGTGCCCATCGAAAATGTTTGTTTTTTTTTGGATATTTCAATACCAACTGATAGCTCATTTATTGCAATCGCATAAAAATTGTCGAAGCTAGGTGACTTTTCTTAAATACGGCCTTGAATTTATATTGTTTATGTACCGGACTTTCAGATTTTTTTAGCAGTGTGACTAAGGAATTCATAATATTTATTCAAAATTGATATATACAATCGCTTTTAAGCAAAAAAAATGGTTTTTCAAAAAATTTTAGGAAAATGGGGGGTGGCACCGCCCACTTTTATGATATATACGGTGACCATCCATCCTGTATTATATGGGACAGTCCTCTTTTTTGACCCATTGTCCTGGTAATTTATTTATTTTATAAGGGACGCCAAATATCCTGTATTTCTTTTAATGTCCTGTATTTGTCACGTATTCGCTGCCTCGGTGCCTTAACAGCTCATTAAAATGGTATGCCTATGAACGAGTTTCAAGTGATGTTGTTAATGATCGTAATTTTCTCCATAAACATATATTATTGTCTAATCTGAATGCCTCTGATTCGAATCGAAGAATACATACAGTGAACAAAATAGAAATTTGGACTCGACATTTTGGTAAGTTTTGGCTATTTTGCCTTAGTTTATTTAATGTTTATTATTTATTTTATGAAAGTAAAGCTCTTTTCCTACCAAAAACCATATAATACCAAATTTCCAACTTTGTGCAAAACTATAAAAATTAATTCTGAAATGTTTCACCAAAATATCAAATTTTTTAATTATCATCTCTAGGAAAAAATTTCGTTTGCTGTTTTGTAACTCATTAAAATTGCGTATAATAAAGTGCGAGTGGAAAGTGCTGCTCATTTGCTTTTATTTCAAAAAAATGGTCGAACATACTTACTTTGTATGAAAAAGTGCGTAACACCGCCAAAAAAATTGCCAAAATTTAATCATAGCCTTAGCGACTTAAAATTGCACTTTATTATACTAAATTTTAACGGTCTTGTTTTTTAACATATTTTACGGGGTACAAATCTAGGGAAAATTATCCTACAAATTTGTGAAGTTACTAAAAGGATACTGTTTCAGGGCTAATATATCTAGGATCATTGAAGAAGGCTTTATCTTGCTTTATCTTTTATATCTATAAAATTTGGAAAATAATTTTTTGTCCCGTATTCGGCTCTCATAAATATGGTCATCGTAGATATACATATGTGTATCTCTAAAACTACTTTACCGCTCTGGAGCCGGTGGTTCTTGACGGATTTCAAATATTTTCAATAGGTACTTAAGGAAGCTAAGCACAATGTGTGTACCATGTGTGTATTTGATTGAGATCGGTCAAGTAGTTTTTGAGATACGCATATATCATATAAGTGGGCGGTGCTACCCTCATTTTCCTACAATTTCTTAAAAAAACTCTTCTTTGCTAAAGAGCGATTGTATATATCAATTTTTAATAAATATTATGAATTCCTTAGTCACACTGCTAAAAAAATCTGAAAGTCCGTTACATAAACAATATAAATTCAAGGCCGTATTTAAGAAAAGTAACCTAACTTCGACAATTTTTATGCGATTGCAATAAATGAGGTATCAGTTTATTTAAACATAGATTTAATTTTAGATAGTAATTGAAATTGTGGAAATTATCGATGGTCAAAATTTAAAAAAGTTAAGAGAAATATGGGTTTTTTATTTACCCGAAAAAAATCCCAATAAGCCAAGTCCGACAATAGATTATTATATACCATTTTAAAACACTATATATCATCTTCTCAGATCATATTCCATCTTTGAAATCGAATTAAAAATAGTCATTCAAAAACTCATATATGTACAAAATCGTATTTTCTGACCTAATTCGACAGGTCGCGACCTCTAAATGACCTTTAAAAAATCTATAAAAATATCCAATAATATTTCTCATAAAAACGAATAAAATTTGGGTGGTTTCGGTAGAGTATTGAAATTAAAAAAAAAAAAGCGATTGGCACCCTAATGCATATGTTTGTAGTAGAGATGGGCACGGGACTAAATATTTAATCCCGACCCCGCCCATCCCGAAATTCGATTTTTAAGTCCCGAACCCGCCCATCCCGACAATTTTCAGAATTGTACCACGGGTCCCGTGGGTCCCGATATCTATCTCTAAAGCAGGCTACACACGATCGAAGGTTCACAAAAATGTTCATGTCTTTCATATTGATTTTAAATAATAATGAAAGATCTGGCATGTTCCTATAATTTTTTTTCTTTTTCGTCTCAATAAAACATTAAAAGTGCATATTTCAAACATCGTTTTTAAGGAAGATTTTGTGAATTTGCGGGGGTTGCGGTTTTATCGGGAGTGTCGGGAAAGGATTTTGGTCCCGTCCGGCCCGCCATATTTTTACAGATCTTCCCGATACCGCCCATCCCGGCCAATTTTAAATCAGTACCGTGGGTCCCGCGGGTCCCGCTATCCCGCGCTTATCTCTAGTTTGTAGCACATATAGAGCCTGTTAGTGCTCCACACAGTGTTTTTAAGTTTTTCCTACTTAGCATGAGCGCTGATTGAGCTCTTTCTTCACTAAAGTATAGGAATTTCTTTGAGTGATGGTGTTCCTCTAACTCAGGGGTTCCCAAACTTTTTTCACCGCGCCACCTTGTTGTGCTAAAAAAATATCGCGGCACCCCCACTCTCCAAAAAAACAGCAAAACTCAATACAAACTGTATGCTCCTTTAGCTTTAATGTGAGGACTGAAATTGGTTTGATGATTTCATTATTTCTTTTAAGTTTATTGGGAGCTTTGACAATTTTACCCTGAAATCATTCTACGCTGAACGCTTGCTGGTGTATTTGTTTTTAACCGACTTCACAAATTCGTCGGAATATTTTTCTATTTTTTTTGTTATGTTACCGCATAACTTTGGACCAGGTTAACCGATTACTATAATTCTTTTTTTTTAAGGAAAGGTGTTACCTTACAGGTCGTCCCATTCTAATTTGGTTTAAATCCGATCATTGGATCATGAAGAGATAATCTTAAATTTTTATATGGGGATTGGGTCGGTTTTGCTTTTTGCTGAAAAACTAGTTGTTTATGTAAGCATTTATTGAAAATGCTGTTTCACATATGAGTCAAACCACGCCAAATGTGTCAATCAATTTCCATTGATTTTCTCGAAAGTCAAGCCAATTGTTGGAATCTGTAGATAATTATAAAACAAAAATACACTTTGGACGGTTTTTCGAAATTGCATTTTGTTTTTGTTTTTTTGGTATTATAAGAATATTGCAGTTTTTGAGAGAGAAATTCGTAACTCGCGACCCATTTGATGAAATTTGATGAAATGTTTTTTGAGAGTTGCTGAAGCTTTTCTCTTTACAATAGAAAGATTTGCAAAATAAAATTTGCAAAACACTTAATTCTTTAATAACCTTAATTTAAACAACTGCAATTATTTATATATTCTAGGCCCGCGATGCACAGTGGTTCGGATCGCATATCTAGCTGGACGAAACTATTTAAACAAATACTCGTTGATGGATCTTTACACCACTTCTTACCTAGGGCATTTTTGGGTCGCTGATTACGAATATGAAGTCACTTATCAATCCAATATGGCGGACGAAAATTAAAAAAAATCGCTAGATTTCTATGAAACTGGGTATCTGGGGGTTTTCTGGGTCTCTGATTACATATCTAAAGTCATTTACCAAAAATTCAAAATGGCGGATCCAATATGGCGGACGAAAATTAAAAAAAAATCGGTAGATTTCTATGTAACTGGGTATCTGGGGGTTTTCTGGGTTGCTGATTACGAATCTAAAGTAATTTACTTAATTTACTTTATTTACTTCGGAACGACCATTTTCATCATATATTTCTTTCAATTTACTAATCACATAATCACGGACACCTTGTTGTCTTTTAGAAGTTTCAGCAAGACTTCTCCAAATGTCAAACAACTCACTTCTTAAGATTTTCTTTACCATGACTAAAATTTAA